GCGCCATGCCTGCGCTCCTTCTCGTTCCTGACACGATCATTTTTCTCCAGAGTTCGTTCCATCATCGCGTCACATCCGCCCCTCCCTCCACGCGACGTTGCCAAATGGGATGTCGAATTTTATTTATGATCCCTCCGATCTGTTTCTGTAATTAATGACTGGCTAGATATCACAACGGCTCCTGTTTTCTAACGTCGATAATCGAATATTATGTGACACCGCGTTTTCCAATCGGATTTTCAATTAAATTTCGTTGAAAATTATTGACTAAATCTCGTGCTTAATTAGAGAGTTTTTTAAATTTGTGTCAATGATAAGAAATATGCTCAAGAGTACCATTATTGGACCAATTTTAACATAATGGTATATATCTACATATCAATGAATATACTTAGAAGTTATATAAAAACGAAACATGGTTCATAATATTGCGCTTAAAATCATAATAATCATGTAATTTAAATAAATTATATCGGTTGCTTCAATTCAGACCGCAACATGGTCGTTTTTATGAGTTGAACAAAGAAAGATTAATAAAATGACAGTAGTCAGAGTGAAAAGTTGCAATGACATAAATGTCACTCTTTCTTTTTCCTTTATAAGTGTCTATAATGGAAGTTGTCTTTATCGCACCCATGGCCTATATAACCTATGTTGCGATCAAAAATGGAGCAACCTGTATATTTTTTATTTTTATTTATTTTCAAATAGGTATAGATACTCCCCTACTCTCCTCTACAATATTGTTTTCGGTATGGCTAAAAACTTTCTATAATTACTAATCAATAGCCTCATGCACTCTTCGTAGAAACCGAGAATTGTAGACGCTCTTGATGATTATCATTATTAATTACCCTCCTATAAAATTTCAGTCGATGAATAATTCATAATCATTATTTCAGAATACTTTTAAAAATGTCGAATATCTCAAATTTCTGCGAATATTTCAGTTTTCCGACGTTCGTTTTTTTATAGAGCAAAATGGCTGTTAAACTGATTTTTAATGAAAAAACCTTTATGTTTAGACAAAAAAATCTATTTGTATGAGACGTAGGTATATACTTTGAATTTTTTTACAGCTGCCCGATGGATTTAACTGAATGGGAATCCATCACAAATCTGAATGTGACATTGACACATGATAAACAAGATGCGGTGTACACTTCCATTTAAAAAAAAAAGTCACACGGATTCTTTTCAAGCAAAATCATAGGCGCTTCTGAGATACCTGTATAAAAAATATCTCAAAAAATCTTCCTAAAGATAAATTTTGCACTTTCACCAACCTAATAATGTTTGTTTTAAAAAAAGCCTTATATTTCATTAATCATTTTTTGAAGAAGATTAATTATTAAATAAGCTTATTGTTAATACCTAATTATTAAATTTCATATCTACGCCTATGGTAAGCGTCCAAAATTTATTGGAAATCGGGAGTTCAATACACGTGCGTAAAAGAGATAAGAAGAGATTTTTGGACATTTGACTAATATTACCTCATTAATCTGTTTCACTTTTGCTAAAAGCAACTCTACCTTTGCCTTTTATATGGAAAACACACCTTCAGTTTACGTAAATCGGGTTAAACATTTCGGCAAACGACTAAAAGGACCTTGCCGCAGGATTAAAACGACCCGTTTAAGTTGGGGTTGAGTTTCTTTGTAAGGCGACCTTGCCGGGAATTCGGAATGGACATATACGATAGTTTCTACTATTTTTGTTCGTATATTCTAAAATTGTACCTACTTCAAAGTCAAAACGTTTGCTTTATTCTCCTGCTCATAACAGAATGTGGGTAGCAATAGTACTATTGATTCTATTTTGTTTAATAAATCAATTTAACAATGTTTTTAATGTAGAAAAACTGCAGGAAAATCAGAATAATTCCGAGTCCGTTCCTGTCCTTAAGATAAATGTCTCCCGAATAAGAAAATGCGAACGAAATGAATAGTAATGAATAGGAAATGGTTAAACAGTGAAACGTTTTATTCACCACAACTCCCCTTCCACCGGCAGATGAATGAGTGATAAGTGAAAAGTAATTATATTTTATTGTTTCACAGAGATGCCGCATGCCGTTTGAATAACGGCTTTGTTTTATTATTTTCAAAAATGATTTAGATGTATGCGTTCGCTTATTAATTATTTGCCCTGCAATTAATTACACGGCGATAACAATTGTTTGAGTTTTTAAAATGTAAATTACTCGTACATTGTTAATGCTTTAGTTCTATTTGTATCTTTGAATTAATAAGCATTTATTAATTTTGAACGTTTGATTCATTCAAAATTTGAAGTCCTGTAAACCAAAGTTAGAACTAAGTAAGAGAAGAGAAATTTTTAGAAGGTAGATAGAAAGATATTTTCAAGTCATGTCTAAGTTCCTATTTATATTTTTTCGGGTGTCTATATTATTAAGTAGATGATGTAAATAATATAGTATTTAACGATCATTAATGTACAAAACGTGTTTCTGGGCGAAAGGAAAGTTCCCGTCTAATTACATAAATTCGGGAACAGAAGCAACTAAACGAAAGTTGATGTATATTTCCGTTCCCGTGCGTTTGTGCGAAAGAAAAACAAAAGGAATATTTTTAATGCGTCGTCGAAGACGGGTCCATTTGTTCTCGCCGAACACACAGTTTGAAAAGATGGTGTTGAATTGGCGCAGCGTTTATTCTCCCTTGTATTTTTCGGTCAGCATTCGACGATGACTAAGTGGACTTTGTTGTTCGCAAGACTAAGAGAAATGATGATTCCGCATTGAGAAGTTCCCCGGGTCTCCGAGCAATCCCTCTCGCACCCCAATGCTGAAACCGGGAATTCTTTCACTTACTATTATTCTATTTCTTTTGTACATAAAATGTCCTCCATTTTCGCATGAATATTATTAGCCAATTCTATTTCATTCGAATTTGATACACAAATTCCGATTATAAACAAAATTTGGGTGTATACTTCCTGAATTAATTATTAAGTACCTAAGTGTCATAACAATTTAGTAATTTTTGATAAATTAGCATCATGCTTTTTGCTTTTATTTTCGGTCGAAATGCGCGTCCGTAAAAAAAGGAACCATTATAAAATCCATTCAGTAAACTCTACTTTAAACAGCTGTAATGGCCACCAGTTCCGCTACGAAACTATAATTACGGTTTTTTGCGATTAACCCCTTCACGTGAGTGTGAGCTGCTTTTAATGTTGTGTGAAATGACTTCGGATTTGTTGATGTGCCCGCGAAAAGCGTGCATGCTATTAATGATTACATCACAATATTATGATGTAATATAAAATAAAACATTATACAAATTATAATTATATATTGTATTATAAATTTTAATGGAAATGTTAAGAATTATTTACTCTGTAGGTTTGTTTAAACTCGGACTAGTACTAGGTGTTTAAATTTTTATTGAGCTAATATGCATACTTACAGTAATTGCGATGAATAGGTAGGTAGTTCAAAAAACTAAAATATGCTATGTTAATTATTCATTGTTATATTTTTTTAACATTTTTTTTAAACTCTTTATGAAATTTGTCAAAATTTTACAATTTATTCGGTTATTATAACATTTTTAAAGTTAGCTGTTATAATTGAAAAATGAATAAAAAACCAGATTCCTCGAGAGAATCTGTAGATTTACCGAACACATTTTGAAGTAGAATATCAAAAATTTTGCATCAGAAAAGTTATTGCCGTATTGATTTTGGCACCCACTTGTCACTCCATAGTAATAACAGAAATCGATCAGCAATAACAAACTGACAGGCAACATCAATCAGCTTGCCAAGGGACGCTCAGTTGGGGTAGCCGATTGCTATGATATCAAATAAGGGTGGATTATTTCTGAAGGAAGCTTCCATTATTGCCAGTAATCTTGAGAGAATAAATTATATACGAAACAGACAACTTGCGCTGGTATTAATAAAGTTTGTAGTTCGGTTGCGTTCGAGCCATTTGTTTGGATGGAATCATAACGTTTAAAAAATTAAATGTTGACTTTTATTATATATTTCTTAATTTGATCAAAAATAGTAAATATTTTAAGAGAAAAAAAACAAGTAATAAATAAGAATCCTCGGTAATATTTCTAAAAGAGTACAACCATTTATATCAAGTTGAATTTTACCACGAAACTAACAAACATTCCTAAATCAAACATGAAAGAAAAAGATTTTTTTACCGGGTACATTTTTAACGTTTCTACTTCGAGCATTATAAGTAATTCATCTTTCAGCGAGAGGAAGCACGAAAACGCTCCTTTTTTACCTTTTATTATTAATGGTTTTCCACGAAGAAAAATTTTTGAGTAAATGAGTCGTAAACAAAAAAGGGGTCATCAAGGGAGCAGATTAGAGTTCGGTCCGTTTGTTGATGACCTCCAAGCACGTGGATACGGAAAACGATAAAAACTTGGACAAAATAAACAAAATAAACATTTAATTTTTATAATATTAATATTTCTACAACCTATTTCATCTCTTTATGGAGTTTGTTTTTTTAACCATATAAGATTTATTTTGATGTAGAATATCTCCAAATGCTAGGGCAAAAACAATTTGCATCTTATAAGCTTTTTTTTATTTTTCAAGCAATTAAAAAGAACATCATAAACAAACTTTTGTATATGCAAAAATAACAGTGCAAATTTTTAAGTCCTACAATTTGGAATTCGTGAACCACAGTGTCCTCGAGGAACACCCCACGAAAATCTTATCATTCGGAAAGGAACAAATGCCATACGTACTAAAAAATCATCGCCAATCTATATTTTTCCAAACGAACGGGCCAATGTGACTGATAAACCTATAGATGACTCGTCTATGCTCGACACACTATTTTTTTCTCCACCGCTTGCTTTATAGCCGCCATTTATCTTCCTTCCTTGTGCAGTTTTAGTGAAAAGGAAGATGAAGTTATTTTTTACAAAGAATACCGCTACTTCTTTCACTCTTCGCCATTGTTTCTAAATGAACGGAAATCAACTAAACTATTGAGAAAGTATTCCGTTTCTTTTCTTTGGCCGCTATAATGAATTTACGAGCATAATAATTAATCAGTACAAACTACACTACCCAACCAAGAATAGTAATTCACAAAAAAGAAGAATCATTACAAAATAACAACTATCAAAGTTACAATTTGACACAACAAATTGTAGAAAATATGCAACGTAACACACCCAAAACCGCTTCAAAAATATCCGAAATATGACCACCAAACAAATAGTAACAGTTGGATCCTGCAATATTGATCTGGTAAGCTACGCCCCGAGGATACCGAATCCTGGCGAAACGATCCACGGCAGGGAATTCCTCACTTTCTTCGGAGGAAAAGGCGCCAATCAATGCGTAGCTGTTGCTAAGCTGGGAGGAGAGGCGGTGATGGTGGCGAGAGTTGGAGACGATATTTGGGGTCCGAAATACCTCGAAACGCTGCAGAAGGAAAACGTTATCACGAAATACGTGCTGGAAACCGAGAAATGCAGCACGGGCGTCGCTCAAATTATAGTAGGTGACGATACAGGGCAGAACCAAATCGTAATAACGGCCGGTGCAAATGGGGAATTAAAAGTTAAAGATATAGACGCAGCTGAGGAGGTAATCAGTCAAGCAGGCGCAGTGATTATGCAATTAGAAACTGCCGAGAGTGCAGCTATTAGAGCTATGGAGTTATGCAAAGGGGTGTCTATATTGAACGGGGCTCCTGGAAAATCCACGTATGACCCGAAACTGCTAACACTACCTACAATATTTTGTGTCAATGAAACTGAAGCTTCCATTTTTTCTGGTGGTTTACCTGTAAGTACTAATCCCGAAATAGAAGCGGCTGCGGCAGCTTTGATGTCCAAAGGCTGCCAATGCGTTATCATTACTTTAGGCGAACAGGGAGCTTTCTATATCGACAAAAACGATAAATACTACGTTAGTTCAAACAAAGTAAAATGCGTAGATTCGACTGGAGCAGGCGATGCTTTTATAGGAGCACTAGCTTATCTTCTGGTAAACGAAAAAGACATGCCAATGAAAAAAGCTATAGAATTAGCGTGCTTTGCTGCAGCTGATAGCGTTACAAGACCCGGAGCTCAGCCCAGTTTTCCTGACTCAAGTATTTTTAAGGAAATTATTGATAGTAGTAAGACGAGTACTGACACACAACAATGCGATTGTAGTACTTAGATGATAAAAGAATTGCTGTTGTTAAAATGAATTAAACATAATAATATTGAGATGTTTTCAATTCACATTGCTTTTACCTCTTTGTACGTTACCAGTAAATTTGATTAATGTTGCGTCATTGAAAAAATTGGTCTTTTTCGTTATTTAATTTCCTGAAAACGATTAGTTGGTTTATACACTCTGTCTAAGGTCGAGCCGGTCGAGCGCTACATTCGTCCGCCGATTCATCGCGCCGAAGCCGCGCCTCTCCACAGTTCGACTGATTCTCTCTTTCTACTGTTTGCAGCGCTCGAACATGGACACTCTGTATGTAGTACAATAAACTACACATGTATATACCCCGTTTTAGAAATGACTAATATGTTGAATGAATTAAGTATATTGCCAGCTAATGTTCGGTAATGACTGGTTACAGTTAGTCAAATATTGCAATCATATTTTTTGGTTGAAGGCTGCATCACAATAAATGAGGTACATACCTACCTATTGTAGAAATCAAAATAATGTGCATTTTATTAGCGTTTTTAAAATTTTAATCAACTAATTATTATGTGAACTAGTTTTTATTATATTTATAGTATCCGCCCTATAAATTGTTTGTAATCGCTATCAAAAGAAATTAATAATTTCAAAGAGTCATGTTCGGATCCGGTACGATATTCCGTGGGTTTCTCGACGGGAGTCGTCACACCGAGACTTTGATTAAACGAACCGACCTCGTCCTTCTTCTTATTATTTTTTTTGTTATTAGTTTGATTCATGAGTGCGTAGTTCCATGCATAAAAGCCTGACTTCTGTTGGTAGCTTTCTAATAAATAAATTTACCATTTTTCTTTCCTTGGAGTAGATATATAATTTTTATGATCGATATTACGGCACAAGTTTTGTTAATCGATATCCACTGTAAACACATTTTTTATCGCAATAGAGTAGCCAGAAAGAAAATAAAAAACTAATCCATAAAAATATTAGATTCCCGCTACCGTGAAAGAAACATTTTCGTCGGACCATTTCTCCGGGCTTCTTCGAGACACCATTAGTAAATGACAATTTGATGGATTCCTCGGCCCAACCCCGTTGCATCAAGGGATTCCTACATTTCGGCTTTTTTACGCTCAGGGAGCCCGGGCTCCACTCACAAAGCGAACAAAGACATCAAAATGATGGATTCGGTTCATCTTATCCCAGAGCGTGATCGAGTCATATTTCAGTGGAACGGCGGATGGGACAGGACTACATCTCTGAATGTTAATTCCATCATCGACCCACCGCGCTCTGACGACGATCGTCCTCCTTCTTATCAAGCCTCTGCCGTTTCCCTCTAATAAGAAATTCTCAATATTCGATAGGTGTTTCTCTTTCAGGATTATCTATAGTGCAGTTACACTTGCGTAAATACAGTGATTAAACGCTGGATAAAATGATTTTTTTGCACATCAGCGTTTGAAAATTTTCCCATCTCGAGGCGCTTTCGCACAGACGTGTTGCGAGAAGTCTCTCGTTCTCTCCGGGCGCCCGTCGAAATTACCTAAGCAACACATCAACGACACGACAAGCATTTCTAATATAACTGGATGGAGAAATGGCGGATATCATCTACCTTTTCCTGTTCTGGGACGAAAATCTCGAGGGGTTAGGAGCCGTTCTGATGTGCATTCCTAACAGAGACATGCCGAATTCGGAGCGGTTTTTCAAAATGCTATATACAATGTGTAGTTTGTACGTTATCCTCTAACTTATAAGAACAAATAAAAATTTTGATCAAGCAGCAAATTATTATCGTGGAGGAATAGAATTTTTCCAGCCAAAAAAAACTTTTGCTTTGATAAACCGAAATGCGTATTTAATGGCACGGCACACGCAAATTTCGAGGCTTATTATTTCTTTTGCTGTAATAAAAATATCCAGATTACCGTCGGCGTATGAAATTATCTCAATTAAGATCGTTCCGAATATAAAGCGAGGTGATTATTAGCGTTAGTTGACAAGTTTAAAAACAGTGTCAAAAAGTTGGGTTCCGCCGTCAAGGACCATAGTACCGGCTATTATATAGTCATCAGATGAAGTGAGTCTCGTAATGATGCATCTTGATAATTTCTCATCATTAAAACCGGTTTCGTCGCAACGACCTGTACACATGTGGTTTTCCAATATCCAACTAAGACAATTTACTTGCCGTAATTTTGTGTGATTACCGCCGTAAAGATGGCTTTTAATTTGAGCGTATAGCCAATAACAAAATCATTTCGGTGTTTCTCGTTAACTTACATTATGGCTTAATACGTACCAGGTGCGTTGTTGTTTTGAATTAGGCGGATAATTTAGCTTTTTTGTTAAAATTAGTGTTAACTGATTCTGCTGTTTATTTACACTTTTCGTTATATTTCTATAATTCAGTAGAACATGCTGAGGAATCTAATTGGATTTCAGTGAGTGAAAGTTGTCTGGTTTTTCACCTGCAGACGATTCCCCATAGGCCCGGCAGGAGGTAGTTAAAGTCTCGTTTAGGCCGCGTGATCGTGATCCTCGGTTGCGACTCCACGTATTAATGTTCCTAGATTATGCTAATTCGGTTTATACATAAACATCCAGTTAATGTGGAAGTGGCCCCAATAAAAAATGGGATGCCATCACATAACATCCGATTACGTTCGAGAGGGACTTTTGATTCTCCCGCCTTGCTTGGAAAATTATTCCTCGCTGGTATACAGGTGCTGGTTGAACGAGAAATATAAATTAGAGCGATGCATGGACTTGAGAATTAAGAATTTATTAGATAAGGCAAAGAATAAAACTTACTTATGTTAATATAACACTACATTTGTGATACCACTACAGTGAAATAACTATGTTTTAACGCTCAATTATTATATTTCATAATATATTCTCTCTACTTTTTAATAGCACGTACAGAAGTTTTAAAGAATTGTTAACATTCAAAATAAAAAGGAGTAGAGTACAAGTAAAATTTGTATACAACAATTTATAGCAAGAACTCCAAGTTGAACTTGAACTTAAAAGTAGACGTATTAAGTCGTTTAGCGAATGTCCTAACACTTCCTCTCCTATTTATCTGTCGGCGTTCGCCGTATCGCAGTCAAAACAAGTATTTCAACCCCCTATCTACCGGCACGATGAGCTTATCCACAACCTAAACATTTATCATGTGCGGAGTGCCTACCCCAAGGCCCGAACGGCTAAGCTATTATTTACCTTGGCGTTATTGTTAAATGCCCAATAAACAAATTGTTATTGATGAACGGCTCACGGCGATTTAATTATGAAAAATATTGAAAGTCAATTAAACAGCCCGCAAGGAAGCTAGTTGTATTACACACTATTGAACACTCCGTCAATTCCTGCATCAAAATTAAAATCGTTATGCATCCAATTATTTTAGAATTAGCTCTAACATATTGTCAGTACCCAAATTTTTTTTTAACCATCGGCATTTTGACCTTGGTACTCTCATCAAAAACCGCTCATTAATGAACACATATTCGCAATCTTCGAACTTGTTACGGCTCACAACAAGAATTCCCCCTATCGCGTCTTCGGCGCAATTAATGCGCGATCGAGTTGACACGGGCAGCGATAAATAATAACCCTGTATCAATTAAACTCTAATGATTATTCATAAGGCGTTCATGTACGCAGACGATGATTATATTAATTAAAGCGGATAACCGCCTTACGGCTCAATTACCGGACCGCGTACGCACGATAGACAAAAGAAACTGGATCGTTTCACGATCTGCGTTTAGAGGATAAATCGTTCACGGGAGGTTTGCTGGTAGTTACAACGATTTGAAAAATCCGGAATGAAGTATGAAATTAGCTAACTAGCCAGGCGGTTAATGAATTGGATGCATGCGAAGTGTGCGTGAAACAATTAGATGTCAAAAAAGGGAAGTTTTTTTTTGTTGCTGGTTCATTATTGGCCGTTAATATTTCATGAAATTTATTAAGTATCTACCTAATATTATTGATAATTAATTGTTCAGTTCGGTTAAGTTTTGTATGTACATAATACCTACATCGTTTGTTTGGTCATACAGGGTGTTCTCGAACTTATGGCACTAAATTTTAGGGGCGGTAGTTTACATAATTTGGTACCGACTCGCAAATTTTATTTTTCTAAAAAATTTATAATAGACAAAATAAAGCCATTAGAAATAAATGCTAAGAGCGAATACAACCCTGGCCTGAATAGTCAACTGATCGGAATTTTAACTCAAAAAACAGATTCGGTGTATTTTATCAGCAAGCGCAAATTTCCCCCGCCGTCCTCCAGCTTTAGAAAAACGTTATCGATACCGATTGTTTTCTAGTGCGAATTTTATTGTTTTGATTATAACATCGGAGTTAAATAGATTTTTGTAATTAGACTTTAGTGTTTTATTTGATTGGTTTTAGTACTAAGTGTTCTTAGTTTAGTTAATTCTTGTTCGTTATAGTGATATACTGGAACATTTAAGCAGCTTTCAACAACAAAATAGGTGAGTGATAATATTCCTTTTGAGTTTAAAGTTTATTTTCTTTTATTGTTTGAAAAACCCGATTTATACTTTTTTAATTTATCTATGATTCTAAAAAATTAGAGGGGTCGAGGGGTTTCAACCGACATACAGGACCGCATTTTTAAAAACCGACATATTAAGACCGCAATATTAAAAATATTTCAAATTTTGTTTATTATAATTTTTTTTGAAAAATGAATTCTGCGAATCGGTCTCAAATTATGCAAACTACCACCCTTTGAATTTAGTGCTATAAGTTCAAGCACCCTGTATAAACGAAAAAAAAAAACAAAATTAAAATTGAAGAAATTAAAGAAGTGTAAATATGGCCTTTAGTATAATTTAATTTTTTTAAGTATTTTCTTATGGACAATGCGTCAAAAATTCTATAATTATAAATTTACTAAAACTGTATTCATACCTACATAGATCTTCTTTATAAATAGGAATTAAGGTATGTAGGAATCGTTGCATTCAAAATATGTTAACC